GTGTCCACCCCACTCCAGCCAAGACCCCACTGGAGCTTTCCCCTCCTCCTCCTCACCCCTGGGCCCCAGGGCCGATGCCCGGAGGTGCTTCCAGTCRGGAGGCATCGTGGCATTACCATCGGGGCTGTAGGGTCTCTCCAGGCTCGGGAAGAGCTGGGTGCCAGGCACCTGGAGCCCAGAGAGGGGACAGATTGTCCTCGAGGGTTGTGGCAGTGGTGCCACATCGCGCTGGCCGTGTCACACCCTGCCATACCTTGAGGGAGCTGGCTCTGTCCTGGGGTCCGGGGGCGGGCAGCGGGCACTGGGACAGCGTGTGGTAGCTGGGGTTGGAGTAGTAGTGCGCGTGGTGGCTTGGTGGCACATCTGAAGGGACAGCGGTCATCCCGGTGCCAGAGGGCCACCACAGCCACACCACTGTCACCAGGCTCACCTGGCACCATGTAGTCCGAGGTGTCCGTTTGTCCAGCTCTGTAGGCCACGGCCAGGTGYTGGCTCTCCTTCCTCTTCTGCCGGTGATGGTAGCACAGGGTGGTGACCACCACGGCCACCAGCAGCACCACCAGGGCCACCAGGCTCAGCACCATGCCCAGGGGGCTGTAGGCTAAAGGAGGGGCTGGCTCGATGGTGTAGGGCTGGTCAGGGCTCCCTGTGGGGTGAGGAGGAGGAGGGTGAGTCCTTAGGGTGGGGGAGGAAAGCTGGGGAGCCCCCATTGTGCCCCCACTCACCGGGATGACAGTGGGGACCGGTGGCACCTGGGGCGCAGGGACACGTCCCGTTGGTGGGGTCACAGGTGGCGTTGTGGGGACAGCGGCAGAGCTGGTCACACTGGAGCCCAAAAGTCCCGGGGGCGCAGGCTGGGGAGGAGCCAGTGCCATACTGGGACCATACAGCTCCGTGTTGGGACAGTATGGCCCCAAACTGGGACAATATGGCTCCATACTGGGACAATATGGCCCCAAACTGGGACAATATGGCTCCATACTGGGACAATATGGCCCCAAACTGGGACAATACGGCCCCAAACTGGGACAATACGGCCCCAAACTGGGGACAATATGGCTCCATACTGGGAGAATACAGCTCCATACTGGGACCACACAGCTCCATACTGGGACCACACAGCTCCATACTGGGACAAAATGGCCCCAAACTTGGATAATATGGCTTCATACTGGGATCATACAGCTCCATACTGGGACAATATGGCCCCATACTGGGACAATATGGATCCAAACTGGGACCACACAGCTCCATACTGTAATTACACATACCCGTACTAGGACAATATGGCCCCATACTGGGACAATACAGCTCCATACTGGGACCCTACAGTTCCATCCTGGGATTACACAGATCCAAACTGGGACAATATGGCCCCATACTGGGACAATATGGCCCTATACTGGAACAATAAGGCTCCATACTGGGACAATACAGCCCTATACTGGGACAATATAGCTCCATACTGGGATTACACAGATCCATACTGGGACAATATAGCTCCATACTGGGACAATATGGCCCTATACTGAGACAACACAGCTCCATATTGGGATTACACAGATCCATACTGGACAATATGGCCCCATACTGGGACAACACAGTCCCATAATGGGGGAATACAGCTCCATACTGGGACTACACAGATCCAAAGTGGGACAACATAGCCCCAAACCGGGACAATATGGCCCCAAATTGGGACAATATGGCCCCAAATTGGGACAATACAACTCCATAATGTGGCAATAAGGCTCCATACTGGGACAGTATGGCCCCAAACTGGGACCACACAGCTCCATACTGGGACCATATAGCTCCATACTGGGGCAACATGGTCCCATAATGGGAGAATACAGCCCCATACTGGGATCATACAGTTCCATACTGGGACTACACAGATCCAAACTGGGACCATATAGCTCCATTCTGAGACAATATGGCTCCATACTGGGACCATACAGCTCCATACTGGGGCAATACAGCTCCATACTGGGATTATTCAGCCACAAGGTGCCCAGGTGCCAGGGGCCCCTAAGGCTCRGTACTGCCCAGGCCAGAGCTGTGCAGGGGTCACCCAGGTGGCTACAGACATTTCTCTCAGTTGCCCCCTCCAGACCCTCTCTGTCTCAGGGATACCTCATCCCCCAGCCCCCCGAGCCCCCCACTCACGCTGGGAGCAGCGGGGTCCKCGCCAGCCCGGGGCGCACAGGCAGGAGCCGTTGGTGGGGTGGCACGAGGAGCCGTTGGCACAGGAGCAGCTCAGCGAGCAGCGCTTGCCGTAGCGCCCGTGGGGACAGGCTGGGGACAGAGCGGCACACCTGACCTCAGCTCAGGGCTTAAGGACCAGGCTGGGGGCAACCTGGGCTTTTTGGGGGGGTGTCCACTCACRGCGCTGGCAGGTGGGGCCGCGGAACCCCGGGGCGCAGGTGCAYGATCCGTCCTGGGGGGAGCAGGAGSCTCCGTTGCGGCAGGAGCAGGACATGCGACAGCCGWGACCCCAGGAGCCTTGGGGACAGCCCTGCTTGCACTGCGGCCCTGCGGGGATGGTGAGGGGTGAGGGCCGATGGCTGAGGGCACAGCAGGGTGTCCCCACACCCGGTGTCCCCTTTACCTGTCCAGCCAGGCAGGCAGAGGCACTGTCCGGTCACTGGGTCGCAGCGGTCAGCGTGGGCGCACACGCAGCGCTCCCCACAGCCCGCCCCAAACGTCCCGTTCTGGAGCGTGGGGACAARATAGGGGTCAGCACGGGATGGTGGCACCCTGGCAGCCCCAGCAYGGCCACAAGGACTCACCGGGCAGGGCTGCAGGCAGCGGGGACCCTGCCAGCCCGGGGGACACCGGCAGATCCCGCTTTGGGGGTCGCAGGATGCCCTGTGGGCGCAGTCACAGCTCCGGTTGCAGCTGAGACCCCAAGTACCAGCAGGACACGGTGTTGAGCAGTCAGGTCCGTGCCAGCCTGTGGGATGAGGGGACAATGGGGTGGGCATGGGGACAGGGACAGGGACCCCCCTCAGGCCCCAGAGTGCACCCACCTTCCTTGCAGAAGCAGGAGCCGTCGAGCGGGGAGCAGGCGAGGGCGTGCTGGCAGGAGCAGTGCCCCGAGCAGTTCATCCCAAAAGTGTTGGGGGGACACAGGGAGGAGCAGTGCTCGTCCTGGATTTGGGGACCAAGAATTCAGGACAGACAGGACCCCTGCCCAGGGCTGGGGAAAGGAACCACATGCCCAGGGACCACCCAGCTCCTCTTGGCCACCTGGTGCTGTAGGGAAAGTGGACAACCACAAAAACCCCATGGGAACCCCAAGCTCTCCCCAGGGTTGCCCAGAACCCCAAGCTGCCCCTCAAGGATGACCCCCAATGGATGCCCAGACCCCGAAACTGCCCTGAGAGATAACAAGACCCCCAACCCATTCCTGAGGATGCCCAGACCCCAAAACTTCCCTGAGAGATAACAAGACCCCCAACCCCAAAAAAGGATGCCCAGACCCCAAAACTGCTCTTAGAGATAACGAGACCCCCAGCGCATTCCTGAGGATGCCCAGACCCTGAAACTTCCCTGAGAAATAATGAGACCCCAAACCCATTCCCAGGGATGCCCAGACCCTGAAACTTCCCTGAGAGATAATGAGACCCCCAACCTCAACAAAGGATGCCCAGACCCCAAAACTGCTCTTAGAGATAACGAGACCATCAATGCATTCCTGAGGATGCCCAGACCCCAAAACTGCTCTCAGAGATAACAAGACCCCCAACCCCAACAAAGGATGCCCAGACCCCGAAACTGCTCTTAGAGATAATGAGACCCCCAAACCATTCCCAAGGATGCCCAGACCCCGAAACTGCTCTCAGAGATAACAAGACCCCCAAACCATTCCTGGGGATGCCCAGACCCTGAAAATGCCCTCAGAGATAACAAGACCCCCAACCCATTCCTGGGGATGCCCAGACCCTGAAAATGCCCTGAGAGATAACGAGACCCCCAACCCATCCTGGAGAACGCCCCATATTTCCCTTGCCTCCAAACCATCCAGACACCCTCATTCCCCCCAGAACCTTCCATAGCCCCCTCGACCCCACACTCCCCAGGACCAGGAGCCCCTGCCCCTCACCGTGTAGCCCGGGGGRCAGTGGCAGTGGCCGGTGGTGCCATCACAGACCCCGCCGTGGAGGCAGAGGCAGCTCTGCAGGCAGCCTGGCCCAAAGTGTCCGGGGGGACAGCTCTCGTTGCAGTAGAGCCCGGCCCAGCCAGGGAGGCAAACGCATTCCCCGAGCATCGGGTGACAGCTGGGAGTGCACGCTCAGCATCCCAGTGCTCCCAGTATGGGGCACTGGTGGTGCTGGGAAGGGGCTTTGGAAATGGGGGAGCGCAAAGCACTTGGCCCAGGTGGGGATGAAAATGTTTCTGGTCACACTGACAACACCTGGCTGGCTCGGGGACAGTGTGGGGGGATGTGGTGGAGGGAGGAAGGGATGGGGGAGGAAATGAGGGTGGTGGGGCAAGATGAGGGTGGTGGGAGAGGTGAAGAGGGTGGGAGGAGCTGGTGTGGGATGGATGGGATGGGATGGGATGGGATGGGATGGGATGGGATGGGATGGGATGGGATGGGATGGGATGGGATGGGATGGGGGATGCTGAGGTGCTGTGGGGGTGCCAGGGAGGGATAGGGATTTTGGGGTGGGATGAAGGTGCCATGGTGGGATGGCAAAGGATGGGGTAGCTGAGGTAGGATGGGGATGCCAGGGTGGGATGGGGGTGATGGGGTAGGATGCGGATGTTGGGGTGGGATGAGGGTGCAAGGGTGGGATGACGGTGGTAGGATGAGATGGAGATGCTGGAGTGGAATGAAGATTTTGGGGTAGGATAGGGATGCTGGGGTGGGATGGGGATGCCAGGATGGGATATGATGGGGGACCTGGGGTAGGATGGGGATGTTGGGTTGGGATTGGGGTTTGGGGTAGGATGGGGATGTTGGGTTGGGATGGGGATGTTGGGTTGGGACGGGGATGCTGGGGTGGGATTGGGATGCCAGGATGGGATATGATGGGGGACCTGGGGTAGGATGGGGATGTTGGGTTGGGACAGGGATGCTGGGGTGGGATTGGGGTTTGGGGTGGGATGGGGATGTTGGGGTAGGATGTTGGGGTGTTGGGTTGGGATGGGGATGTTGGGGTGGGATGGAAATTTTGGGGTAGGATGGGGATGCTGGGTGGGATGGGGCTGTCAGGATAGGATGGGGATGTTGGGTTGGGATGGGGATGCTGGGGTAGGATTGGTATGTTGGGTTGGGATGGGGATGTTGGGTTGGGACGGGGATGCTGGGGTGGGATGGGGCTGTCAGGATGGGATACGATGGGGGACCTGGGGTAAGATTGGGATGTTGGGATGTTAGGTTGGGATGGGGATGCTGGGGTGGGATGGGGATGTTGGGTTGGGATTGGGGTTTGGGTTGGGATGGGGATGTTAGGCTGGGATGGGGATGTTGGGTTGGGATTGGGGTTTGGGGTGGGATGGAAATTTTGGGGTAGGATGGGGATGTTAGGTTGGGATGGGGCTGTCAGGTTGGGCAGGGGCCACACCTCTGGCTGTGTTGGGGGTGGCAGAGGCAGCGGCTCTGGCAGTGCAGACCATAGAGGCCGGGCAGGCAATGTCTCTCCTCGCAGCGGCTGCCCTGGAAGCCGGCCTCGCACAGGCAGCCCCCGTCCACGTGGAAGCACTGGCCCCCATTGGCACAGTCACAGCTCTCCTGGCAGTCCTGCCCGTARCGCCCCACCGGGCACCTCTCCTGGCACCTGCAGGGAGCAGAGGGGTGGCAMAGCCCCACCAGGATCTGAGGTGACTCCTGGAGTCCCCCCTCGCCCCAGGCTGAGGCCATGCAGCTCATGGCAGGCCAGGCTGGGGAATCTGGGGGTCCCGGCAGCAGTGGGTTGTGGTAGCTTCATCCCCATGTGTCCCCTCCCCATGTACCCCCCACCATCCATGGTATCCCTATGTCCTGCCCCTGTGTGTCCCCTCCTCGTGCACCTCCATCTCCACCTGCTCCCAGCCCCATGGACCCCCATTCCAAAATGCCCTGTCCTCAAGTGTCCCATCCCCCTGCCCTCGATCCCTTTGACCTTTTATTCTCCTGCATCCCCATTTCCCCACACCCTCAATCCCCCTCATCCCTTCCCCTCCATCCCCTTGTACCCATCCCCCCCAATACCCCATTCCCCCATCCCCATATTTCCTTTCCCCCCACCCCATGCCCAGTCCTCCTCCTCACTTCTCTCCAGTGAAGCCAGGGGCACACTGGCACTGTCCCCTCTGGGGGTCACAGTGGCCCCCGTTGTGGCAGTGACACTCGCCCTGGCAGCCGGAGCCAAAGTGCCCGGGAGGGCACGGCACAGAGCAGATCTCCCCCTGCAAAGGAGCACCAGGGTCAGCAGGGGAAACTGAGGCAGGGACCACATTTGGGGTGAGGAAATTTGGAAACTGAGGCWGTGCCCACCTACCATCCATCCATGGGGGCAGACGCAGGTGCTGCTGCTGGAGGGGTGGCAGATGCCATGGTTCTGACAGGGACAGGGTGTGGCGCAGGATGTCCCCTCAGGGCAGGGCACCTCGCAGCTATTGGGGGGGTGAGGGGTGAGCAGGACCCTGCCTGGGGGTGGCAGAGGACGGGAGGGCACAGACAGAGGGGTCCCTACTCACAGGGGGCCGCTCAGCCCCGSTGGGCAGAGGCAGGCGCCGGTAGAGGCGTTGCAGGGGGCCCCGTGGTGGCACTGGCAGGGGAGGTGACAGCCCTGCCCGTAGGTGCCAGGCGGGCACGGCTGGCGGCACAGAGAGTCGGCAAAGCCAGGGGGGCAGGAGCAGACCCCAGTCAGGGGGTCACAAGGGGCCCCGTGGTGGCAGGGGCAGCGCTGCCCACAGTC